GTTAGTGTTATAATTATTGTTATTATTGTTATAATTATTATAATTGTTGTTGTTGGATTCATCCTTGTTGTCTCATGCCTGTCTCTCATCGCTTGCGACAAAATTACCACATCGCTCAATACATGCTGGAAGCAGCAGTACGGGAGCGGTGGTGTAGCGGTCAGCGCTACGCTGCGCTACGAACTTGGCGACTCAAGTTCGATTCCCGCTCACGGCCAACACCGGCGACGATTATCTGAACCGGTCATGGGCCGTCCCTAGGTCGACTCAGCCTCAAGTGAGTACCTGGTGCGGCGTGTAAACGTCGCCACTGGGGAGACAAATGCGGTCGGGCGTGGTGTTGGCCAACCCCTCGTGTGCCGTGCCGGCGTTGCTAGGTGCTCGCTAACACCAATTGTCCCAAAAGTATGTTAAGGCTACACGGCGGATCTTTGTCTTTGTAGCAAAGCAGCACTGCCTGCCAATAATATCCTTTGCTTGGATCACTCTTCACTCTGGACACACGCTCTAAAATTACCGAGGCGTTCCCGAGACCAGGTCGCGCGTCATTATTGTGAAAACATTGAGAAACCTGAACAAACATTCATACACACTCGCAGTCCACTGTGCTGGACTCGTATCTGAACCGCGGGACACCCGTTGGCACTGGAGGGGCAGCAGGATGTGCGGGTTCGATGGGCCGGCCCCGGCTGCAGCCTCCACATTCACAATCCTCCCTCCCCACCCTCCACGCCGCCCGGGACGACTGATTGAGCTGCGCACGGCTCATCAACATCGATATCCTGTGCCCTATCTTCTGGACCAAACCCCTCCAAAATACCAAACAACCTCAAGTAATAATAATAAAAATAAATTACAATAATAATAACAAACAAAGAAAACGCATTCTTATTTTTCTCCGGGCGGGTTTCCTGCTTGTATGTGTGTTGAGCCTCCTTCGCACCGTACGTAGCCAACCGTGCTAATTGGAGGCGTGGGGGAAGGATAAAATAAAACACGAAAATCAGTTATAAAGAAATTAGTTTTTAACCTTTATTTACACGTGCATAACTCCAGTGGCTTCCGAATATCGGGCCGAAGAGCGTTCCAGACGGCCGTAGAAGCGCATCTGAAAGCGCCGTGCCGCGCCGCGCGGCGTGACCGCCTTTGTTCGATGGCCGAGCCAAAAGCCGCCGCTGCGAGGGTGGCCGGAGTTCGCGTGGTGGGTGAAGCTCCTTGACGAGATCGTCGAGGCGTTGCCGTTTGTTTGTGGCGAGCGCTGAGTGAGACCTCGCCATGCATTGAGTGAGACCTCGTCATGCACTGAGTGAGACCTCGTGATGCACTGAGTGAGACCTCGTCATGCATTGAGTGAGACCTCGTCATGCACTGAGTGAGACCTCGTCATGCATTGAGTGAGACCTCGTCATGCACTGAGTGAGACCTCGTCATGCATTGAGTGAGACCTCGTCATGCACTGAGTGAGACCTCGTCATGCATTGAGTGAGACCTCGTCATGCACTGAGTGAGACCTCGTGATGCACTGAGTGAGACCTCGTCATGCACTGCGTGAGACCTCGTCATGCATTGAGTGAGACCTCGTCATGCACTGAGTGAGACCTCGTCATGCATTGAGTGAGACCTCGTCATGCACTGAGTGAGACCTCGTCATGCATTGAGTGAGACCTCGTCATGCATTGAGTGAGACCTCGTCATGCATTGAGTGAGACCTCGTCATGCACTGAGTGAGACCTCGTCATGCATTGAGTGAGACCTCGTCATGCATTGAGTGAGACCTCGTCATGTATTGCGTGAGACCTCGTCATGCATTGAGTGAGACCTCGTCATGCATTGAGTGAGACCTCGTCATGCACTGAGTGAGACCTCATCATGCATTGAGTGAGACCTCGTCATGCACTGAGTGAGACCTCGTCATGCACTGAGTGAGACCTCGTCATGCACTGAGTGAGACCTCGTCATGCACTGCGTGAGACCTCGTCATGCACTGAGTGAGACCTCGTCATGCATTGAGTGAGACCTCGTCATGCACTGAGTGAGACCTCGTCATGCATTGAGTGAGACCTCGTCATGCACTGAGTGAGACCTCGTCATGCATTGAGTGAGACCTCGTCATGCACTGAGTGAGACCTCGTCATGCATTGAGTGAGACCTCGTCATGCATTGAGTGAGACCTCGTCATGCACTGAGTGAGACCTCGTCATGCATTGAGTGAGACCTCGTCATGCATTGAGTGAGACCTCGTCATGCACTGAGTGATACCTCGTCATGCACTGAGTGATACCTCGTGAGCGGCAGGTGCGAGGGCGTTTGCGGGCGGATCGTCAAAGTGAACGAAAACGTAGGGGAGGCAAAAACAAAAACGGATCTTGGGAGTGAAGCCGAGCCTCGGGTGCCGGATGGTGCGGGCCTGACGACTTGGGCGTGCGCCCGGCCTTGGTACGGCATTAAAATAATCAGCTGCCAAGCCCCAAAGGGAGGTCGCTATTGCAACCGAGACCAAAAAAAGTGTAAAAATATCTGCTCATCTCCGCTTTCCTAGAAGCTTTGTGAGCAGCCAACCCTTTCCGCCGACTCTCAGAAGGAAAGAGAAAAAAATATAAATTATCGCCATCGTGAAAGCGACATTCCCTCTTCCCTTGGACTCAGGGGAGTGCCGCGCGTCGTCGATTTCACGCTCGCGACGCTTCGGGGCTCACGAGATTGGTGCCTTTACCACGTCGTCGGAGCAAATATCGGAACCTATTTTATATCATTTTGTTATCGTCACGACCACCGTACGTGTATTTTATCGTAAAGCGTGTCGCTGCACAGCTGCCGATGAACGCTGGGTCTGTTTGTATATTCCGAGTGGACTTGGCAGTCCAGGGGCACTTGTGCATGCGAGGTGTGCCAATGGTGGGTTGTTCGGTCCATCAGCAAGCCCCCGCGAGTGTGCGTGCCTCTGCACGTGTGCGTGCGTGCGTGCGTGAGCAAATGTGTGCGTGCGTGAGCAAATGTGTGCGTGCGTGCGCTTCTGCCAATCGACTCGGCCCGTTAACCCATAACACTCGAGGTTGTTCCGTGACCTACCAGTGAGAGAGTGCACCTAGCCTGGCACAAGCGCTGTTGGGGCATCACCGTCACTTGGCGGTGAATGCCGGCTGTTGTGTGCGTGCGTGTGGTGAGTAGCGGCACGGTAGTTACTGCGCTCCCGCGCTATGAACCCGGCAAACTTGGTGTGTTTCCCAGCCATGGATAACACAAAGTAGTGGCTGGTGTCAGATACTCATCCTGAGTCAAGTAGGCCCTAAACGAGTACCTGGTGCGGTGTGCGGGTCCTGGCCTACAAATGTCTGACAGTCCACCAGCGTTAGTTCAAGCAAGCCTCACTGCTCGGGGGAGACCCGGAATGTCAAAACCGGTCTTGGGGTTTGCTTGTGTCCATTGAATGCTGAAGTGATAGGCTCCCAGAAGGGCCGTGTGTCTGACAGGATGTGTAAAGAAACACTTTTATATTTCACGTGAAGTCGGTATTTGTCTACTTATTCCTTTTGTAACACCCCATGCTTGTGTGCTGCGGTGGTTAGGAGATGTTAACTACCTCGCCTGGTGTACAGGAGGTCGTGGGTTCGATCCCCACCCTGACACCTGCTGTGTATCGTGCTGTGTATTTGGAGTTTGCATGTCTCTCTCTCCGTGGTCACGTGGATTTTTCTCCGTTTTTTCCCTCCACATTTTATAAACATCCGTTTAGAATTCAGAGTATTTGGCTGCTATACATTTCCACATGATATAAGCCACTTCGTAAAGCTGTCATTTGTGATAGCCAGGTCGCTTCTGGAAAAGAGCTACATAGCTCAGTGGGCCTTAGCTGGTAAAATAAAAAATAGTTTGGTTTTAGTTTTAATAGTTCTCAAGTAGATGCTCGCAGGCAGGGCTTGCCCATACTGTCTTTAAGACTATACTGGGATCTTTGTTTTCAGTTATCTGCAGAGGAAAATGAAGTAATTGACAGGAAGGCGGTTGTGGTCTTTATCTTCCAACGGCAATTGTGCAAAACAAAAGTGAGAAAAGAATAACAGCAGAGTTGTGTTTTCTTTTTATGTGGGCTGCTATGGTGCCCAGACACAGAGAGTGAGAGAGAGACCTGCTCCTATTGAGGATAAATCTGTCACACATTCTTGAGAGTCCACTTCACAGCACACCGAGTGCTCGGGCAAATTCCTGCGCGCGAGGCGCTGTTAAAGCGGCTATCAAAACAGGCGCTCCTTGAGGTTCACACACGCTGCCGGCATCGTGCCATGAGAAATCTCCATCGGGAACTCGCCCAGAAATCGGCATTTACATCAACTCCAGTGGAGTTCCTCAGGAACCGTCGGCGGCTTTTGCTCGGAGGCGCGTGGGCGTTTTGTGTCGTTGTCGCACGCAGGCGCTCTGGCGTGTCGTTTTAAATCCCCCGCCAGGGACGCGCTTCTGGAAGATGACACCGCGGGGCTGCTCCGCGGCCGACGCATCGAGCGGCGAAATCGGTTGACGCGCGTCCCGGGTGAACCGTGGGCACCGCGCGGCCGTGAGGGATTGCGGCGGTTTGGCCGTCAGCCTTCGTCCGGCAGTTTGGGCCGATCACGGACGACGGCCGTCACTCACCGTGCCGCCGCGGTGCGCCGGTCCGCGCACTCGACTTGCGGGGCGCAGGCCCCACCGGGCCCGGGCTCCCCGCGCTGCAGACGAAGCAACGGTGCCGGCCTCCTGAGCCGCCCCCCCCCCGTCCCCGCGCACCTGTCCCGACGCCGATCGGCCGGTCACGTGCGGCGGGCTAAGTGCGGGTAGCTCCCGGCCGCTTCCAAGACGTCCTGTCCGGCGCGAGATAATTGGCCCAAAACAACGGTTGGGAGAGAGAGGGAAGGCGCTCTCCGGAACTCCTTCTGGTCGGAGGCGACCCCGCGCCGGCAGTGGGCCGAGCGGGAAATTGCGGGGCCGCGCCTTGACCCCTGTCGCGCGCGGGCGTGCGTGTCGCACAGGTGTCTCTGTCCTCCGAGTGCATCAGAGCCCTCACCAAGCTGTGGTTCTGCCCCTACTGCCGCGGGGTGCCGCAGCTCAAGCCCTGCCGCAACTACTGCCTCAACGTCATGAAGGGCTGCCTCGCCAACCAGGCCGACCTCAACGTCGAGTGGAACAACTTCATCGGTGGGTTGGCTCTGCGTACGCTCGGCCGCTCGCTCCTTCCTCACGCGCCCGCCTGCTCGCTCGCTCGCTCGCTCACACACTCTCCCTTGCCCACCCCACTCACATGCTGGCCCACTCTCTCACCCGTTGAGTATCTCCCTCGATTATTAAAGTTGCACCTTCTCTCTGTCGCTCACCCCACTTCTTTACTCGCTCGCCCACCCCCTCGCCCACCCACCCACCCTCTCGCCCACTCTGTCTGTCTCCCTCTCCTGCTCACTCATCCTAGACACAGCGGATGCCTGGTCTGGACCCAGGAGAGTGTGCGCGAGGTCCCCTTAAAGACGAAATATAGGTCGCAAATTCTTCAGTAGCTTTTCTTTGCACATCTCTTAGAATAATATTCTTTACGCTTGATGTTATTTTAAATAACCCCTGAGCGAGGGAGAAAGAAAAACAACATTCAGAAGAGCGGTATCAAAAATAAATCCCTGTTTATTATGTGCTGACATACGTGCACATGTTTTTAAAGTGTGTCTGTTTAACAATCACAGAAAAGACCACTCACAGCGGACTGCTGCTGTCTGGTATGTTGTCGTTTGTATTGATTTTGAAATGCTATTGCTTTTCTTTTTACAAAATGCCTTTCAGCGTGGAGTTGTTTTTTTTTTTTAAACACAGTTGCATTCTGGTGACAGGAGCAGAATTTTAATTATTTCCTAAGCGCCGGAAGAGCGAGCGAGCGAGCGAGCATTGTCGCACGAAAACGCTCGGCTCGCACGCACCGCTGCGTGCTCTCCTCGCCCCCATTGCGCTCGTTGGGTGGAATAGCAAAGGGCGACGGAAGTGTTCAGAACGCCGGCATCGCAAACAAATACAAACACAGGGCGCTTCAAAGAAACGTGAACACTTCGGAGCATTTGCAACAACACCACGTGACATGTGCTGCCACCTCCAGGCTCTGGAGAGCACCTGGGGAAGATTCCAGGCCACGTGTCGACATTCATGGCGAACGAGCGCGAGACCCTTTGACTTTTTGAAGCTATTAACATTACATTTGTTATCACGTTACCGTGTATTATTATCCGCTCTTTTCCCATTAACAACGATGGTCCCATATAAGTTTGAAGCACCCTGAAAATTCTCCCGCGGCGTGGTGAGCGTGCCGCTGAGGCAGGGCCACACGACTCGCTGCCCTGGGTAGGAGGGCGGATCGAGGTCAGAGCTCTCCCCCAGTCCATCACCTCTCTGAGATCGATCGATTTAGTACCGAGTTGTCGTTGGGCAAGTGACGTTTGTGCCAATTCATCGATTATATGCCGGGTCTCTGAGCTCACAGTACACAGTTCGAATCATATGAAGAGTCGATGTGTTTTTCTCGTGCGATCTTGACAATGTACGGTAGCATCCTTTCGTCAATCCATTGCTGAGTGATGGCCTACTCCCCTATGCCGTGTTTGATCATGGGGGATGTTTGACCATACTTCACCACGCTAGGCAGTGTAAGGTTGACGACGAGTAGGGCCCAGGACCGGTTCAGATATCATCGCTCCGTGGGGCAGGGAATCAAATTCGGGTCCCAGGGTTCAGAACGCAGCGTGCTAATCGCTGTGCCACCGCTCCTCCCGCGTCGATGAGTACATTTCATATGGAATGGGTTTACATGATCCCCTGCAGTGGCGATCGGCCGTTAAGTTCACCGCAGTGTAAATAATCACGGTGATCTTGAAATCGAATCAAGAGGCTGACTCGTGACATTTTTTTCAAATTCCCGGTGGTCGTCCCACGGAAATATTTGCCACCATTACAGTGCAGTACAGTGCAGGTGTATCCTTCGATTTACGAAAGGGATAGGTTCTTCAAATAGACGCTTAAAACAACATGCGTCCCCTCAAGATCTCGAACATCTGGAGATGATGCAGATCTTCTCTGCATTCCCAGTTCGAGGCTTCGGTCTATGGGTGACCGAGATTTTTCCCCATGTAGCCCCCAGGCTATGGAACGCTCTTCCATGAGATATCAGGAACACTGTTGACATTTTAAAAATGCGTCTTAAAACCTATTTATACGCTTCCGCCTATTAAACTTTTAGGTTAACTAGTAAATGGATTATAATGTAATTGTGTTTATGCTGAGCGTCTGCTGCTGCTGCTGTGTCCTGTGCAGCGCTTTCAGATCCTTGATAAAAAAGTGCTAAATAAATGTAGTAATTATAATTTTGTAAATCAGAATAGATTTTACCATTAATCCTAAACATCAGAGATGCGTTTCGGACAGTCATTCCAACTCTACCGCCGACTGAAAAATATACCCCACCTATATCACTTTTCGCAGTACAAAAATATTTGTTAAAAATATATAAATATTCAAACTATTGAATGATATAAATTATGAATGAAATATGGCGCAAGATAATTGAAATAGTACGTTTCGGCATTTAACGCTGGGACCGGGGTTTTTCCGTAACAGCGCCTCTGAATGTTGCCTGGCATGTTGATGGCAGGGAATGTGGTGGCGCCGCAGTGGTGGTTCCGGTTGTGGTGGTGGTGGTGCCGGTGGTGAGAATTATTGTCGGTCGTGGGCAGGAGGTGAGCTGTGTTGGGTCAATCGTGCAACGGTGACATCGAGGGAGCTGTGGCGAGCTTAGACATAATCCTCATGGAAAGCAGCCCAGAGTCTTATAACAATGCAGATGCACGCACAAAGACAGCCTCGACAATTTATTCTGGGGCAAGTGCTGTTGCCGAAAACCTAATGAAGGCGGGCACAGCGCTCGAAGGGTTGGTGCGGACAGCACCAATCAAACTGGGCCCGCCGTGGTGCGCTAACCACCATGCCACCACTCCTCCCCACGTACAAAGATCCCCGGTGTAGCCTTCATAGACTTTTGAGGCAAGTGCTGTTAGCGAGAAGGCCAGGCACGGATACACGAGGGGTGTGGGTGGCCAGCACCACGCGCGGCTGCCTTAACGCGCACATAGCACGCACGCAACACGCACGCATTGTTGACAGCTCCCCGCAGACATTTTCAGAGGCGCTACACAAACTGGACAAAATGCGCGAGCAGATACGAGGAACACCGCGTATCCGCGTCACTGGCCGAGAAAAAAATAACTCTTCTGTGCGGCTCACATTGGGGCGCGTGGCTCCCATTGGGGCGTCTCAGTGTGAGCTCCGTGACTCATCATCATCATCACGCCTCGGAGCGATGCAGCGCACTCGGGAATTTTGCAATTTTTGCCCCGCTGTCATGAGAATTATTTGTTGAATGTTTTTCGCTTCTCTCTGTCCCAGGGGGGAGGGTGCATGATACATTCCGTTTGACTTGACTCTCTTCATTCGGCAGTAAAATTATTGTACATTTTTGTAGCGTATATTGTATTCACACACATGAAGAAACAAGAAACACACCCCAAAACCGATAATTGCTCTGCTCCAGCCACAGAACCATGTGCGTACATGGTTGTAAAGATAGCGCTCATTATTTTAAATATAACACTCATTGAAGATAGTCCTTATTATAATTGCTCATAGTTTGTACAGGAACGCATGTGTGAGTGTGTTTCTATGTTTGGGGAGCAGTTACAGTGCGCTCTGCTACGAACCCGGTTCCCCGAGTTCCATTCTCGCTCACGGCGGCCAACAGGACCTCCGCTAGGTCGACTCAGCCTCAAATGAGTACCTACTGAGATGTGTACTTGTCGCCACTAGGGCCAACGTGTACACGTCGCGAACGTCCCTTCCACCAACAGTCTGTTAAGGTTGTACCAAAAACAAAACAGTGAGTGAGCTTTGCGTGCTCGTTGTCAGCTTTAGTATCACAAGAGGCAAATTACTTTGGTTCACCGATGATGTGGGTGTCATATATGTGGAGCATGTTTATGACGAGACTTTGGAGCGACGCAACACTGTCGACCAGACCCCTGCCCCGCGAGTGAAAGTTTTCAGGATCCAAAATTTAGCCATTGGTGGCTTTCGTGTTTTTCCTCAGTCGCAAAGTACAGTGTGAACTCTATCCGCGTGACCCGGTGGAAGATGATCTCGAACAAAGAGGGCGAGAAGAAGAGGAAGCCTCGAGGCTTGATGTGAGCCTGGAGAGAGAGGTACAAAGATGTGACTGGGCCCCATCATCTCTCATAGAAGATGTGGCAACGAGCCATCGAAGAAAGATAGTCACCGCATCATGCGCTTCTGCGGCCGTCTGGAACGCTCTTCCTTCCGATATTAGGAAGCCACTGGAGCTGTGCACTTTTAAATCTAAATTGAAAACTCTTTTCTTTACACCTGCTTTTTGTGTTTAGTTTATTGTCCTTCCCCCCACACCTATTAGTCGTGAGCGGAACTCGGGTCGCCGGGTTTGTAGCACAGTGTACTAACAGCTACACTGCCACTTCCCCCGCTCTAACAAAAACAAAGATCCCCCATATAGTCTCAACAGCCTGTTGGGGCAAGTGCTTTTCGGGAGCACCTATGAAGGCCGGGCACGGCTCACGAGGGGGTGGGCCGCGAACACCACTCCTGGCCGCCTCTGTCTCCCTAGTGGCAATGTTTACTACACACCGCACCAGGTACTTATTCGAGGCCGAGTCGACCTAGGGGAGGCCTAGGACCGGTTCAGATAATCGTCACTGCCGTTGGCCGTGAGCAGGACTCATACTCTGGTCGACAGGTTCGTAGCGCAGTGCGCTGACCGCTACACTCCACCGCTGCCCCTTGCTGTAACGCGCTGTAACACCCAGGCACACACACACTGCACGAGAACACGATGCTTTGTTAAAATTAATGAGCTAAGATGAGATTTGTTAACACATGAACGGCCCGAATGGTCTTACGGAAAAATAAGTTAAGTTTAACATATTTTTTTTGGGGGGGGGGATAATTGTGCGTTCGTTTAGTGCAAATGTAATGAGCAGTTACGATTACAGAGATGCATATTTAAGGTATTCAACAGCTGCCGTCTGCAGGATCAGAGGAATTGTCATCCTCCCGAGAACGACTGGAATATATTTATTCTGCCGATT